TTCAGTCTCTTCAGTCAAGTCCAACACTCCATGGGTCCCATTTAGGGTTTTCTTGGTAAAGATACTGGAGGGCCATTTCTTTCTCCATCTCATTTACAGAGGATGAAACTGATGCAAACAGAGCTAAGTGACTTGCCCAGGGTTACACAGCTAGTAAGTGTCTGAGCAGGATTTTAACTCTACAAGATGAGCCTTCCTGCCTCCAGGCCCAGCACTGTAGCCACTGTGCTACTTATCTGCTCTATTCTTCATTTAAGATCATCAAAAGATGAAATCACTACTCCCATGACCTCTGTGTCATTAGATTCCCTGGATGATGTGTGATGACAGAATTCTGAGGGGATTCAGCCATCTTTGCACAAAAGAATGCAAACGATTCATCTGTGTTTCCAGACTGACAGCTCATATTTACTTGCTCCAATACAATACATACTTCTCCTTTTTCTTCTAAGTAATATCCATGTTCAGTTCTTTGGAAACTATAACTTTCCAAACTTCATGCTACGATTTCACTGAAATTTCACGAATAGTTCTCTGAAGATGATAGCGGAGATGGTAACTCTCTTACAGATAGGGAAACCAAAACCCAGAAATGCTTCTGCTTCAGAGGAGGTGGGGACTGGTATGCAGGGCTCCTTGATGCTACACAAACACACACACACACACACACACACACACACACACACACACACACACACCACTCAAATCCCAACAGAACCTCATTGATTTACTCCCTGAGCTCTGGATAAAGGTTTGGTAAATGGGAGACACAGTGAGTCACAGGATCAAGAAGGTGATGGGAAACTCAGCTGGGAAGGTTGATAGCCAGGGTCTTTTTCTCAACATTACAAAGGCAAATGAATAAGAGCAAAGGAGGAGGAGGCAGAGCCAAGATGGTGGAGAAAAGAAGCAACTTATCTGTGCTCTCCCCAAAACCTCTCAGAACACATTTAAATAATGCCATAAAACAATTTCTGGAGTGGCAGAATCCACAAAAGCATGGGGTGAAATAATTTTCCAGCCAAAGACAACTTAGAAGCTTGGCAGGAAAGATTTGTCACAACAAGGTGAGAGTGGAGCACAGTCCAGCACAGGCTGTGCCAGCCTAGATCAGGCACCTGATTGTAATGAGGAAAAGGTCAAGGAGACAACACTCTCACCTTCCCTTACCCACCTGAATCTTATGTGCCCTCCCTCTCCCTGGCCTATTCATGGGCTAGTTAGTGAGCTAGTGTAAAGAGTGCTGTCCATGGTAGTTATAAGTAACAGAGAGATCCGTGTTCTCTCAGAGCTGCTTGAAAGCATTCAGAAGGTTCATGAAATCTAAGGAAATAATGGCTAATACCAAAAAGTAATATCCATACACTGCGTTGATGTTTGCAGACTGCAAACCTTAATTGTCTCCTATCCCAAACTGCTCATTTTATAGTTGAAGAAACTGAAGCCAAGGGAGGTTAGGTGACTTGTCCAAGGTTGCCGAGTCAATGAATAGTGAATTCCAGTGTCCCCAGAATTCCAATCTAGCTTGCTCCCTATTGCATCACAGCAACTCTCTCCAGGGAAACTGAGGTCTAGAGTGTAAAAGGGAATTAACCAAGCCCACAGAATTAATAACTACCTGAGCTAAGACCTGAACCCAGATTTTCTGACTCCAAATCCAAGATTCTTTACACTAGACCACAGTCTCCCAGATAACTAGATGTGGTCAGTGGCCACTAGAAAAATCTGTTAATCACTTTCCTGATCGTGTACCCTGCTCTATCATGGAGCACATAGATTACTGGGACATCTATTCAGCAACAGTGAATACCATAAGAGCCCCCAGACAAAATGATTACATAAATATCCTATGTTCTATTTCCCCTAGGTCTCTATCACCAGAGATCTTTTTCTTGGCACCCAGAGATCCAGAAGTTTATTATGCAGCTGTATTTGGGGAAAAAAAATATCTACAGGTTAGAGAATACCCAATGGGCTTCAAACCCATTGGTGAGTTAGGGCAGTGGCTGCCCCAAGCATGTGAAGACATGAATGAAAACAATTTGTTCCAATGGCCATAAAGGCAGTGGAAGCAGGTGCTGTGGAGTACTTAGAGCTTGGTCAGATATCAAAGACACCAAGGTCATCCACTGCATCCTGGGCCATCAACAATAATCTTGATTTTTGGCTTGCCACTAGATTTGGATGACTCTGGAAGAAAACACTGAGGTGACTACTTGGTGCAACTCTGCTTCACTTAAATCCAATCCACACACATCAAGATATCTCCCAGTGATTTGACTGGTCCTTTCCAAAATGAAGGACAAACAACAATTATCCTGTGAATAGCTAGTATGCACCTATTTGTTTGCTTCTTGTCTCCCCCAGTAGATTGTGAACGCCTTGAGGGCAAGGACCATTTCTTCTTCTTTTTTATATCCCTAGTGGTTAGCATAGCACCTGGCATGTTTATTGATAGACACACACACAAATATAATGTTTATATATGTTACACGCACACACATACACACGCCATAGGGCAGAGAGCACATTGGACTTGGAATCAGGAACACTCATCTTCACAAGTTCAAATCTGACCTTAGACACTTACTATGTGACTCTGGGCAAGTCATTTCACCCTGTTTGCCTCAGTTCCCCATCTATAAAATAAGCTAGAGAAGGAAATGGCAAGCCACTCATGGTCTTTGCTAAGAAAACCTCAAAATGGGGTCTCAAAGAGGTGGACACAACTAAAACAGCTGGACAACAACAAAATGCTATATTGTGTATTTGGCTACTAGTCTGTCAGAAACAATGTTAAAAAGGAAGATCATTCCAGATCAAAGTGATTTCTAGCTGAGATAATTACCCATACATGCATTGTCTCACTTCCACCCACTTCCATGTCTATCCCCCCACCTCCATGCCCTCAAACATGTCCTCTACCCATGGGGTATTTGTGTTAACATAGTAACCTTGAACAAGAAACAATTATCTGTTAAAATACATTTTGGGTTAACATCTCAAACAATGGTCATTATTCTGTTCCTCCATTGATAGATAATTAGATACATAAAGCATTTAAGTGCTTACAATATGCCAGGCACAGGGCATATAAATACTGTACACTGGGAGTATAGATATGATAATATAATATACACTACATAAAAGCACAAACAAATTCTTGACCCTCATGAAGCTTACATTCCAAAGAAGAAAGTGAACATAGAAAAAGGATGCTGAAAAATCATTAGGGGAGAGAAGTATCCAAATGGAGAAAAAGTGGTAAAGAGCAGGGCATCATGGGCTAGAGCAGGTCTGAAGTGATTGTGGCTGGTGTGGGGACCTCATCAAATGGAGATTCTAGGGAAGAAGTTAGTAGGAGAGGGAGATTCAGGCCACAGTGGTCAGGGTATGCTGCTACAAGAGAGGGATACTGGCAAAAGCAATGAAGAAGTCATCCTGAAAGTCTTGGGCAGAGCCCAATTTGCAATGATCAATCCCCTTATGTGTTCTTGACCTCTTCCACAACCAGGGGACTGCTTCCCTCAGATCAATATTTTCATCCTTTCTGAATGAAAGAGTAGTGGATTATCACCCAATCCACTCAGAAATAAGGAGTGGAATGATTTTTTTTAATTTTTAAAAAATGTCTTTAATTTTTAAAGCACAACTTTTAACATTATTTTTAGCTCCAAATTCTCTCTGCTTCCCAACTCTATTTTCAAAATCCCTTCCAGCATTTTTTCATTTTCCTTTCCTGTCATGCTGAGTGCAAAATGATACCTCAGAATTGTTTTAATATGAATAGCTTTAATTATTAGTGATTCAGGGCATTTTTTCACATAACTATTGATAGCTTGGATTTCGTCCTCTAAAAACTACTTATCTATATCCTTTAACCATTTAGAAATAGATGAATGGCTCTTATTCTTGTACATTTGACTCAGTTCCCTATATATTTTAGAAATGGGATCTTTATCCAAGTAATTTGCTGCAAAGATTCTCTAGTTTCTGGTTTTTCTTCAAATATTACTTGTGTTAATGTAAAAACTTTTAAATTGCACGTGATCAAAATTATCCATTTTGCCTCCTAGGAACCTCTGTATATCTTATCTAATCAAGAAAGCTTCTCCTATATATAGATCTAACAAGTAATTTCTTACTTGTTCCCCTAATTTGTTTATAATATCGTCCTTTCTGTCCAAATCATGTAGGCATTTTCAGCTTATCTTGTATTTTGTGAAATGTTGGTCTATGCCTCATTTCTCCCAGACTACTTTCCAGCTTTACTCACAGTTCTTTTCAAATAGTGAGTTCTTGCACACAAATCTGGGATCTTTGGGTTTATTAAATACTAGGTTTTGTGTTCACTTGCTTCTCCATGTTGTACATCTAATCTGTTCCACTGATTGATCTTTCGATTTATTACCCATTAGCAAGTTCTTTGGATCATTGCATCTTTGTGATATAGTTTGAGATCTGGTCCTGCTAGACCTTCTCCCTTATGTTTATTTCATTGACTCCCTGATATTCTTGTTCCATTGTTCCTCCAAATGGATTTTGTTATCATTTTTTCTAACTCTACAAAGTAATTCTTTGGTAGTATGATTAGCATGGCACTGAATTAGTAAACTAATTTGGGCATTATTGTCATATTTGTTATATTGGCTTAGCTTACCTACGAATGATTAGTATCTAATTAAAGATGTTTTCATTAGGGTGAAGTATATTTTTAATCCATTCATGTAGCTTCTCTGTGTGTCAGCAGGTAGACTCCCAATTATTTTATACTATCTGCAGTGACTTCAAGAATTTCTTCTTTTCTCTCTTCCCATTGGATTTTATTGGTAATACACAGAAATGCTGATCATTTCTGTGGATTTATTTTATATCCTGTAACTTTGATGAAGTTTTTAATTGTTTCAATTAGTTTTTTAATGAACTCTTGAGGATTCTCTAGGTAAACCATGTTGCAATAACAATTTGTGACAAAGAGAAACTTAAGCACAGGGTTCTTAGAATGATCAATTTATTAGCAAAGTTAGCAGTTGACAATAAATGAGATCCAAGGCTCCCCAGTAGCCAAGGATAAAACTGACAGACAGAACAACTCTTTTAGAGCATTTGCAGTTACTGTTCTTGAACATAAACATATATCACTTCTGATAGGCTGATATCCTCTTGCATCAGCTCCTCACCAGGAGGCCTAATGTTATGATTAGATTGACCCATATCCTCTAGAAAGTGTTGTGGTTGGCAATCTCCAGAGCAGGGTACAGGAGGTGCCTGTATTAAGTCTTGAGGTTCTACGGAAGGCTTTCCCACATTCCTTACACTTATAAGGATTGTCTCCAGTATGAATCCTCTGGTGGATGAAAAGGGTTGACTTTTCAGTGAAGAATTCCCCACATTCACTACATTTGTAAGGCTTCTTGCCAGGATGAATTCTCCCATGTTTGAAAAGGGTTGCGCATTGAGGGAATCCTTCAATTTTTTTTAATGTTATTGCTGTAGCTAGCATTTCTAGTAAAATATTGAATAATATTGAAATAATAATCTAGCTTTTGTTTTTGTCATTGGTCAATTAAACTCAGTAGTTCCACAGTTTTCATCCAGTCCTGTGTTCCTGGTAGAAAAACACTTTCATCACAGTGTATGATCTTTGGGACTTGTTGTTGTAGTATCCTTGCTAGCATTTTATTTAAAACAGTTGCATCAGTATTTATCAGGAAAATTGTTGTATAGTTTTCCCCCCTCTATTTTGGCTTTCTCTGATTTCAGTATCAAGACCATATTTGTGTCATAGAAGGAATTTGATAGGGCTCTTTTTTCACCTAGTTTTTGAAACAGTTGAGATATTTGTTAAATTCCTTTGTCAATCCATCTACTCCTGGGGGTTTTTCCTTAGGGAGGAATGCTACTATTTTCAGAGCTAGTTGGAGGGCAGTAATAAGGATCTACAAGGAGCACTAATCCTTATGGCTGCAGGAGAGCAAGGAATGGGGTCATAGTTCCAGGGCCAAGAGGAGCACTAGCAATTGCGACTGCAGGGGCTTAGGGCCCTTCCTGAGTAAAGCAGGGAGCACAGACCAAGAGGGCAGTGACCACACCTCTCCCTTATCATACCACCTTGGAAAGAAGAGCTGACCTCCTAAAATGTCTCAGGATGAAAAAATGTCTCACTCTGAGCTTTTCTTGGCTCTGCTGCTTCAAAATTTGAGTTGTTATTTTGAAGGTTTTTTGGGAGAGTTCCATTTGGGTGGCTGCCTCTCTTCTACCACCTTGGTTTCCTTGTTACATTTATAAAGCTTCTCTTCAGTATGAATTCTCTGATGTTTATTAAGTCTTGAGGTTCTACGGAAGGCTTTCCCACATTCCTTACACTTATAAGGATTCTCTCCAGTATGAATTCTCTGGTGGATGAAAAGGCTTGACTTTTCAGTGAAGGATTTCCCACATTCACTACATTTGTAAGGCTTCTCTCCAGTATGAATTCTCCCATGTTTGAAAAGGGTTGCATATTGAGTGAATGCTTTCCCACATTCATTACATTTATAAGGCTTCTCCCCAGTATGAATCCTCTGGTGAGCGAAAAGGATTGACTTTCGAGTATAGGCTTTCCCACATTCATTACATTTATAAGGCTTCTCTCTACTATGAATCAACATATGCCTACAAAGCACTGAGCTCTGACTGAAGGCTTTCCCACATTCAGCACATTTATAAGGCTTCTCTCCAGAATGAATTTTCTGGTGTTTTGAAAGGTTTGAATTTCCAGTAAAGGCTTTCCCACATTTATTACATGTATAAGGTTTCTCTCCACTATGAATCTTCTGATGTGTTGTAAGTTTTGACATCTCAGTGAAAGCTTTCCCACACTCCTCACATTTATAAGGCTTCTCTCCAGTATGAATTCTCATGTGCCTAACAAGGTTTGAGTTTTTAGTGTAGGCTTCCCCACATTGATTACATGTATAAGGCTTCTCTCCAGTATGAACCATCTGATGTAAAATAAGGTTTGAGCTCCCAGTGAAGGCTTTTTCACACTTGTCACATTTATAGGGCTTCTCTCCAGTATGAATTTTCTGATGCCTAACAAGGGTTGTACTTCTATTGAAGGCTTTCCCACAATCATTACACTTAAAAGGCTTCTCTCCAGTATGAATCCTCTGATGTACACTAAGTGTTGACACCTCAGTAAAGGCTTTCCCACACTCCTGACATTTATAAGGCTTCTCTCCAGTATGAATTCTCTGGTGCCTGATAAGAATTGAGTTTTTGAGACAGGATCTCCCACATTCACTACACTTATATGGTTTCTCTTCACTATGAATCATCTGATGTGAAGCATGGGTTAAGGTCTGACTAAAGGCTTTCCCACAGTCATTACCTTTATAGCACTTCTTTCTAGAATGAATTCTCTGGTGTTGAATAAGTCTTGACTTGTGAGTAAATGTTTGCCCACATTGACTACATTTATAAGCCTTCTCAAGAGCATGGACTTTCTGATGTTCAGAAAAGTTTGAATAGGGAGGGAAGACTTTTCCATATTCCTTATAGTTATAACATTTGTCTCTAGTTGGAATCTTCTGGCCTTTGGTGATTTTTCTTACATCACTCTCCTGTTTTACTTCCTCACTTTTCACCTGGCTCTCACTTTCACCCCATTTCCCACAAAGAGAGGAGTAATCATTCACACTGCCAAGTCTTTCAATCTTCACTCCCTGGGAAGATCCCTCCTCTGGCTCATTTTCAGTCTTGATCTTGGACTCCACAGCTGAAAAACAGTAATATAAAGTACAAATATCTGATATACGTCTAATATAAAGTACAAATGTTCTGAGCTTTGAGAGTGGAAACTAGGGACAAAGTGATGCGACTGCGAATGTTACTCAGAGGAAAGGAGCACCTGGCAGAACCATTTTCTGAAAGCTTCTTTTCAGAATCTCTAGAAATATGGAGAAATAATATCTTTCCCAGTCTAAAAGACTTTTCTCTGTTTGAAAGTATCTAGAAGGCCAAGAACACGTCTGTTTTTTTAAAGGGAAATGGGATAAAAGTAGGATCCAATCTTTGAACAAGGTTATCTTTTCTATTAAAAAAATCATTGTATTGGCCATTGCCTCAATGGACTGTTTTATGATCTACCCAGAATCACTCTCCTTCTTTCCATTCAGAAAGGCATATTTATTTGTCAGAGACTAGAGGTCCAGAACACTTGAGGCATTGACACTTCAAAAAGCTCAGAACAAGACTCCCAGAACTCTTCTCAACCTCTGCCCCAGTGGCTTCTCACAGTAAGTGTGCCCCTACCCTTACGACCCCATCTCTTTGACTGGTGAGTTCTTCCCCAGGACTTCTATTTAAGAAGCACCACACAGCAGTAGTTATTTCAAACCTGGACACCCCTGTGTACCTCTCCTTCTTACTCTGATATGGACACTCCCTCTCCCCCAATATTTCAGCAACCTTTTTGTGTATGGACTGCTTTTTTCAGAATGTAAGCTCCTTAACCACTAGGAATGTCTTTGTGCTTATACATTTATTCTCTAGTAAAGTATTTTTAGTCCTAATTCCTGGCACTTAATAAATGCTTTAAGAATCTATTTGTCTATCATGGGTAGAACAGAGTAATGACTGTTGAGAATTTTAACCCAAAAAGGTATTTTAACATACTTTATTTTATTCAAGATTACTATAAATGTTACCACAAATATTCTTGAGTAGATGGATATGTCTGAGGCATGAGGCATGGTTGGATAAATGCTAGCTTGAATGGTTTTCAGTAGCTAAAATTGCTTTCATGTAGAATGACATTAGATTGAAAAATATTTTTCCTGGCATGGTAGACTTGTGCATGAAATATAGAGTGATATGTAGATACAGATACATTATCTCTATATACATGAGGATATACATGTCCATATATGTCTGTATATCTCTCTGTATAGCTACCTATTGTATGTAAATACAGTATATATATCTATGTGTATATACATATGTAATACACACGCATTAATATGTATGTATATGCATCTATGTGTTTGAGTATATTCCAAGAGATGAACTCTTAGTCTGCTTCTCAGCAGTTTGAACCCACTGATATTAATTAATCACAAGAAAAGAAATGATATCTGATATGTTTGTGGGGCTTTTAAGTTTTGCCAAATATATTCCTTCATATTATGATGTTAACAACCCCATGATCAAGGTACTATGGAAAAATGCTTTATCATATCATTTGGAAAATGTATTAATTATTATACTGTTTAAATCTCGCTTTATGTGACTAGAAATTGTTTGAACCCAGAATATCTCCCTGACCTCAGTAACTCCTGGAAATGCAGGAGATGGTGACAACCAATTTTAGGTTCCCTCACATCTTGGCTCCACCCCACTCAACCAGGTCTTCTTTTGGGTACATCTAAGCTTATGCTTTTTTCTGGTTTTGCCAAAATTTTATTGATGTTTCTACTTCCTGATGTGATATTTTCAAAGCTTTGAGAGAAATTATTTCTCGGTGATTTAATCATCTTATTAATAATGCCAGAATTTTAACAAAAGGATGGTCATTTGGCCATCTCTCTCTTAGACCAAAGACAATCAGGGTGGTGGCCCATGGTTTATCTGCTCTTTTGGAAGAGAAGTATTCCTGAGAGTGGCAATCAGAAGAGAAAGTTAGCTCAACCTTCAAAGACTGAGGTCTTGAAACGAGGATAACAGAAAAAGGGGGAAATCTGAACCTCCCCATATCATTGGTTATTAATAATCATTTCTCTCACTGATATCCATCTCAATCTACCTTGCTTTCAAGCTGACCTCTTTGTATGTTCATGCCAGTACCCTTGTCAAAATCCTATAGATGTAAACTTTCCAGAGCCTAGATGAGAGGGAGCCATACCCTTTCTAGCTCCCTCTCTTTTATTAAATGACCTGGTAAGTTTCTTTCTAATACTCTTTCAGATTTGAGGATGTGTTCTTGTGAACAACAGAACCATTAGAAAAGGTATCCCTATTTTACAGAAGAGGAATAAATGTCAGTTTCAGGGTCTTCTCGAGGGTCACAGGCTACATTAACAATAAATACTGTTCACTTGGTGTTTTCCATGTACAAAAGTGCTTTCTGCCCAGTGTTCTGGGGAAGGATGATTGTTTTTCCATGGGACACCCATCTGAATCTGAGTTCTTCTCCAGCTTACAGCTCTTCCTCCTATCAACTTCTGGAACTTAGGACACCAAAGAGACATAAGTGTGGAGGGAAGGCCGAAGGGGGAAACAGAGTATGGAATATTCATCACAACCATTCTGTCCCAGGAAGACTATCTTGGCATTTACTCTTGCTGAATGAATAAGCTGGTGATTTGTGTGTTCAGTGACAGAGGAGGCTACTACATCAGCAAAGTAACCAACAGATTTCTGTAGTTGGCAGGCTATACGCTAGATCACCTAAGGGAGGGAATACAGCGGGAAAAGAGAGGAGGACACAAGAAAGAACCCCCAGACAGCCACGTTAAGTTGTCATTACATGAATGAAGATTCAGTAAAATACACTGAATGGAAGGAAGGGATGGAAGGAGCATTTATTAAGCACCAATTGTGTGCCAGGGACTGTGCTAAGGAAGTCGTTTTCAGACATTATCTCAACCTGGTAGGTGCTTTATGATCCTTTTTCCCATTTGAGGAAACTTATTTCCTTATAAATCTTTTCTCAAGACTCTAAATCCCTGCTTCTTCAAACAATCCTCACAAGACAAGGAATCAAAGCCCTTCGGCATCCTGGCTGCCCCCTTCTGGACACTCCAGCCAATGGTTGTCTTTTTATGCACAGACCCAGAACTGAGCACAATATCCAGACGGGCTCTGAGGAGGGCAGACGACATGGGCTCTATTGCTGCCATCTGCCTGGAAGGAAGGTGTGCCCCTTGCCATGCATGCCCAGGCAGCAGGAGCTTTTTTTGGCTCCCTTTCACTGATGACTGATGACTTCCATCGAGCTTGCAGCCCCAGAGAGTTTGAGGAACACTGCTGTCTTTGACCCTCTGTTGAATTTTATTCAATTCTCCAGCACATGCTGATCCTTTTGGATCCTGAGCCTGTCATCTGGTATATTAGCTATACTCCCAGCACTGTGTCATGTGCAAGCTCATTGAGCATACCGTGATTGCCTTTTTCCAAATTGGAGAGAAAAACAAAATCATACAAGACAATAAAAGAAAAGAAGAGTGGGTCAGTGAAGCATTTTTTGAAGGCACAAAACAAAACAGAAGAACATCCAGAAAGAAACATTGCCATAAAAATTGTAACATTCTTTTAGTAGAGAAGGGAACAGTCCAGGGAGAAAAACAGCCATCAAAATAGAGACACTTTTTTAGGTACAGGAAGGAATTGAAAGATGTCAAGATAGAAACACAGACAGAGAAATTGAAGCATTATTTTAGGTAGAGATAGGAACAGAAGGATATCCAGACAAAAACACAGCCAGAGAAATTAAAACATTCTTTTTAGATAGGGAAGGGAATAGAAAAAATTCCAGATAGAAACACTGCTGGAGAATTTAAAGGATTTTTTAGTATAGAAGGGAACTGAAGGAATTTTAAGCAGAAACAGGGACAGAGAAAGTGAGTCTTTTCTTTTAAGCTACAGAAGGAAATCGAGAAAGAAATGTAGCCATAGAAATTGCAGTATTCTTTTAGGTAAAGAAGCAATTTCAGGAAGAAATAGCTAAAATGAGCATTTTTTAAGCTGCAGAACAAAGTATTAGAAGTCCAATGAAAAACACAGACATAGAAATTATGGGGTTTTTTTTAATGTATAGAGGGGGAACAGAAGAAAGTTCAGCTACAAACACAGACATACAAATTGAAGTAATTCCTTTTTACTCCAGAAGGAAGTTTTGTTAGAGACACTGCTGTGAAAGATACACGATGACCTCATCATTTGGGTGTTGGAAATCTTTGGCCTTTCCCTTTCAAAGCAGGACCTTCCCCAGCTCCCCAGTCTTGGAGGTTAACTCAAAGGAGGAACAGGAAATGGGACCTAGTACCAGCAGAAGCTACTGGATTCTAGTCTATGTGAAAGCTTCTGGGATGGTAAAGAGAATGGAGAAGCATACCTTCTGAAAATGGGGACATGAGACCTCTCAGAGACCAGTTTCCAGTGAGCACAAGCAGTTTCTAGCCCCCTGTGAGAGGGGGCTCTAGACCCTGCAGTTTTTATTCAGAGTCTATGCTCAAAGTCCTCTGGTTTCCAAATCCATCCAATTAATTTCATGAGCAGAACTGAGTACCTACCTTAATCAGGCTCCTGTCCTCAGGCAGCTCCCAACATGCCCCTCCTGTCAGTACCCAATGCAGAAGAATTAATAAGAAAAAAATTTCCCAAAAGGTTACCATTAGAGTCTGGACTCTTGGAGTTCTCCATTGGGTTTCTGAGACAGGTCAAATTTCAGATCTTCCCTTCGACTTCAGCCTTACCCACCTGGGAAGGTCTTGGTTACAGAATATGACTGCTTCTGAATCAAACCTCTGACTATTCCCAGTCCAAGCTCCTCTGCAGACACTCAGGTACAGAGGGAACCTGATGCCCACCTGAGGTTCACAGATACTTAAAAAGTGAGCCCTACAATGGACATTCTCTCAGACTTCTGATAGGGTAGATGTGAGGTCAAATCTACTCTGCCTAGGTGAGTTTTTTTCTCCAGGAGCCACTGGTACTGTTTTTATATTGCAATAGTTTAAGACAGAGATTGGATGGGGATTGGATGGGAATAAGAGATTG